CCCCTTTCCCAAAAGATGGTCGAGGCTTGGTGGCTATTGGCGTGAACAACTTCGTGCCTCCTGGGCTGCAACCGAACTCTTCTTCCCCAGCAGATTGTAATCGCTGGCGACTTTCTGAAGGGCCGCTTTCGTCTCGCTAGACGAGGGTATCTTCAATCCTAGCGTGGTCAGCAGCCTCGCAACCAGCTTGGCATTGGTGGGATCCTCCACCTGGTGTTAGGGCTTGGGCATCAACCCGAAGCAGGAAACCCTAAACCCAGTACCACCCGGCGGGGTGCAATTAATCGAGAGATTGAAGGTATTATATAGGGTTTCATGCAAATAGCCGATAACCACCAAATCCCTCAACCTTGAGTCCCCCTTGTGTAATCCTAAGGAATATTATATATTAGGGTCTTAGATTTAAGGGTTTAGGGTTTATAGGCTTTAAGGCTTCTGAAATATCCGAAAGCCCATAACCCTCGGAACCCTAAGCACCTCATCCCGGCCGATGGTGCCGTTCCGGAGGTTCACGAAGGAAAAAATCACCGGAGCCTGTCAGAGGCTTGTAGCAGCATCTACAGGGATTAGATTTTACACAGATTTGGGGATTGGTGTCTACAACAGGGCCTTCCCTTGCTTCAGCAGCCGTTGCATCTTTTCGGGTCGCACATTGTCCACCCTGCACAGCTCCTTCATCCTCTTTTCCTGGTAGTCCTCGTTCAGGAGGATGCCAGCATAAAGCTCCTGACAGACAAATGGTAGGACCGTAAACCCAAAGCAGTAAAAACCCTAAAACCCAATTCCCTAAAACCCTAAAGCCCAAAACCCTAAAACCCTAAAGCCCTATATATACCTTCGGAAGATTCAGGGCCTGGGACACCCTCAAGGCCCTAAGCCCCAGACTCCGAAAGCGAAGCTAGCTGCGAGGACCCTCCTTGCACCCTCAAATAGGCCTTGAGGGTTTAGGTTTAAGGGTTTAAGGTTTAGGGTTATCGATAGTATTTCAGGACCCTCCTTGTAGCCTCAAATCGGGGTTTATGGCGCTATGATTCCAACCACCCTAAAAACCAGGCCCCCGATCCCTTGTGCCTGCAAAAACCGCTCCCGAAGCGACTGAGGCTTACTCTTCGGCATGGGCACCAGCAGTGCTGATGCTTCTGGAAAAAAAAGCTCTTGAGCACCAGCAACCGCCCGGAAGCTGCTTTTATATGACATGCACTCTAGTACCCACATGCACAAGTCAAGACTGGCCGGGGCAACCGTCCGAGTCCGTGCCATCCTCCACGATCGCATTCTTAATATCCAGACCTGGAGCCCAACAGAAAATTAGCATCGACTTCATTCGGAAACCCCTGCCCGAGTAGCTGGGATCCTTGCGAGAAAGCAAGGCCTTCTTCATAGACCAACATCAAACCGTACCTCATGATCAGTACTGTTAGTCAATTCCTGCCAGAATCAGAACCTGGGGCACCAACGGAATCTCAAAGATCGGCACCACCAGAAATCATCGATCTGTACCTCGTTCCCGGTAGATCTAGCCTAGGATTAGACCTCTACCCTCGAGACCCTGGGGCACCAGCCCAAGAATTCGGAGATCGCTGTGAGGAGAGCCCACAAAAATTCATATGTACCTCGCCCCGGGAAAGTGCACATTATTTACACAGGAACCGAGACCCTGGGGCACCACCCGACATCAGCGAAGATCGAGAGCACACCCATGGCGAGCCGGATTCAACCCTGAAATCAACCCTGCTGTAAGTACAGAGCTGTCTGTCTAAATTACATGCGGGCCCCCGGGTCCAGTGCTCGAAGCGGTGTACATGGTGGAGTCGTGAAATGCTGGGCCTTGTGGCTGGCGGGCCTAGGGGCTTGTTTTGTCGGGACTAGAGGGCCTGATTCTACTATGGAAAGCAGTGGGGGCTTTGGGGTTTGTGGAGTCGGAAGTAGTGGGGCCTTGGGGCTGTTGCTTTCGAGCCTGGATAAGTCAGGGTCACTTTAAGGGGTAAATCGGGGTGGCTTCCATTATGTCGGTCGACGGTAAAACAGGGTGGTTCACATTATATATTGTGACACATAGTGTCGGGCAAACTAGGGTGGTTTCCATCAATGTGTGGTGGCTTTATCCTGAAGATGAGGAGGGGAAAAATAAGGGCGCTCGGGGGCGAAACTAAGTAGTTCGCAACCACCCCGAAAACTACGGTCGAGGAAGCACAGGGTAAGTAGTACTACTATTATTATTATTATTACTACTATTATTATGATGATAATAATAATAATAATTATTATTATTACTATTATTATTACTATTATTATTATTATTACTATTATTATTATTATTATTATAGGGTTCAGGCTTCACACAGGTGTTTCGCAGGGTCGGCGACCGTTGTAGAGACCTAAAGCACAACACGAAGGCCACTTGAAACCTCTGGCAGAAAGCATGCAACTGCTTACGGAAATCCCTCAGGCCCCGAAACCCCAAACCTAAACGAAGCCCCTAAACCCTTACAGTATACGCCTGAAAAAGAAAGCCCCAAGACTCCTTCAAGTTTCAGACTTTCAGCTTGCAAGCCTCAGCAATGCCAGCTTCACTGCTCATGCGAAGCAGTCATGCCCTTTCAGGGATCATCAATAAGAAGGGACCTCTACAAGCCCTATCATAGTGTCTCAATCATGGCAGCGTTGATTCTTTGCCTTTCTGGGTCGTGGACTCCTTGCGATACGTAGTTCCCCTACAGGAGCCCCTGTAGAACCCTTAATTAAAGGACCCCTCAGAGGAACCCTTAAAGGACCCCTCAAAGGAACCCAGAGAGAAGAGCCCCCCCTGTCGAATTGCAGGGCTTTGGTTGTCGCGAACCATGCGCTGAAGCCGGGGGCGCCCGAACTCCTCTGCCAGGTGGGGTTTAGACCTCCAGCTCTAGGGAGTCGGGTTCTACTGGCTAGAAGCTTTTTTGGGTTCTATAAAGATGCTCTTAAGGGTTCTAGAAGGGATTGTTGGTTTTGTTGCGGATTGTGGGTAGGAGTCCCATGTTCCGGTTTCTCGGATTCGACAGGGTTTAGGCTCAAGGTGGCTTGGCGCCACTGAGGGTTTTCGACCATTTGGGGGCTCGGGGAGTTTAGGCCTCAGAGCAATTCTCCAGTTGCTCCATCGCTTCAGGTTCCGTGCTTTCTTCTGCTCCAACCCTGAGCTCTAAACTAAACAGAGCAGGGGCCTTTATAGTTAGAATAGGGTTTTACCGGTAGATTATACTATAAATCTAAGAAGGAAGTAAGAAGAAGGTTATGCACCCTGGACAACGGGCTCCAAACCCAATGTCTTTAATGCTTAACAAACCATGGAAGGAATCCATACATAAAAAAGCAGAAAAGAGCCTTGTGCAAACCCAGCGAAAATCCGATAAACGCTCATGTGCCACTGTATGATGAAGTTTTCATAATCCGACATAGAATGCTGTAATAGCACCCCCCCAAAAAAAAATCCTGTTCCCATCGCGTTTCAGCTCCGGCATTTCGCGGTGACGCAAGCCACAGGCTTAGCACGTGAAGCAACGGTGGGCCCAGTTTAGGGTTTAGCAGTTTTCCTTGGGCGTCCTAGTGTTTTGCGGAGGGTTCATAAAGGACCCTAAACCCTAAACCCTAAACCCTAAAGACAGAGTGTTTGAAAGATTGGGCTTTTTGGTATGGGGTGCTGTGGAGGTTTCAACGAGCGTGAGGTTTCGCTTCTTGGGCTCTTTAGGAGGTTGAGAGGTTTAGGGTTTAGGGGTTGAGAGGTTCGGGGTTTTGAGTAGATGGGGTTTCCCGGACTTTTTGTGGAATTTTGGTGAAAGGAGTTTCGGGTGTGGGTTCAGGATCTTGGTTTGGGTTCTGGGGCTTCGGGGCTTTAGGGCATCTGGGAATGAGGGCTTAGGCTGCTTCAGGCAAGGGCTGCTAGATTTCTGGTTCTGAAAGTGCCGGGCTGCCATGAGCATCACAGTACCGGTCTTAGCATCTTCGAGACTATCAAGTTGAAAGTTGCGGGTACAGGACATAACAATGACACCCTAAGCCCTAATCCCAACTTACGCTTTCTCGCCGCGAACGCCTGGGGTTTGGAACCCTAGGCTTCCATTACGAGACTTCTGGCATCCTCAATCGCTTCGGGTTGGCGTTGGCATGTAGGAAAAGTGTGGTGTTTAGTGTACCACTCCTATTTAAAATGGCCCTAAACCCTAAACCCTAAACCCTAAACCCTAAACCGACATAGCCAGACATGCGCACCTTCGAGGAATGTTCGCGCAGGCTCGGTAGTCTCAGAGGGGAGAAGTGAGGTCCAATCCCAAAACCCAGAGCCCGAAGCCGGAGTCCCAGTCAAGGCCCAAGGCTAAACCACTAAACCCCAAACCCTTAACCCCTAAACCCTAAACCCTAAACCCTAAGCCCTAAACCCTAAACCACTAAACCCTAAACCCTAAACCCTAACTAAACAGCTCAATATGCCGCAAAAGGTCATTTCCGTGCCGGAGTTCCCCATGCCTCACATGCCCCTTGAGGCAAGCTTGGAGTGCTCGGGAGGTAAAAATCGATAGGGTACTGTTTGGTGATGGTGGTACTAGTAGCAGCAGTAGAAGTCAGTAGTCCTGCAAGGAGGAAGGACAAGTCGTAGGTGTATCGAGGTAGCAGGATTTTTTATCGTGCTCCAACCCGTGGGACAACTTGTAGGGTTT